GAAAGGGCAGTTAATAAACAGAGAGAGAGAGAGAGAATCGATTTGAATTCTTATTATAAAACATAGAGATGGAGTGATTGCTGTTACAAATTACGTAGAATTATCATAATAGATATGTTCAGTTTAAGTGTTCAGTTAAACACTACAATACTTTAAAATTTAAAGTTTAAATACATCTAATATCATATTACCAATATGTGTTGAATTAATTTTAGTTCTTAAAATTACAAATAATAAAATAGTAAAATAAAGAAACCTTACTTTAAAATTAATTTCTGTAAAATTTTTTCGATATTTTTTTCGTTGTTTCCATGAGTTAAGTACTTTTTAACGTATTTTTCGTTAATTTTAACAAGTTTTTTCTAAAAGAAATTAAAATAAACTACCATAATACAATAATAATGTATTTAAATTTACCGTCCAGTAGTGGTTAAACGTATGGACTCCTAAAATATAATTAGAGATTTAAAATAAATATTAAATGCCATCGTTTAAAGAGAGACACGATTGTAGGCTTAGAACATACCTGTAATGTCAGACACACCGAAAACTATGCTTTCAATAAACTTTAAAACAGATTATAATTAATCTAAAAATGAGTAAAAAATGCATTTAAAATGAAGCGATGATTACCTTAGCGTTAACCAAATGAAAGAGTTGTGCCTCTTCTTTCACTTCTCGCTTAATTCGCAGATAATTAAGCAATGGTTTAGTTGTGGCGCCCTTTCGGTGTAGAAATACAATATATTAACACTTGTTTTTATGTAAATCTTATGCAATTTATTTTAGTCATTGATTATTCAAACCATATACTGTGTCACCTCGTTATAAGGCATAGATTTTCCCTATGGGTAGTTTAATATCTATAATTCAAACCCCGATATAATGTAAGGTATATATTTTTTAATTCACCAATTACTGCTATATAACAAGGTTACACTGCATACATGTTGTATATAAACTCAACACTAAATATCAAGTTAGAATTGTTTGTTGGAAAATTTAAATATAGGTAAATTATTTTATAACAACTTATAATTTATAGCAAAATAGTTGAAATTCATGCACAAAAGTGTTGTTTGTATGAAATACGTTAGATATTTACCAAAATAAATACAGTAAATAAGATGACAAATAAAGTGGTGGTCTTCAGAAGACTCAATGAATAAATTCCAGAATTTTCATAACTTTTTAAAAGAGCGATCAAAGCGAAAGCCACGGCCCCTCTCAGCCCTCCGTAAGCCTATTAAACAAATTCGTGTGGATTTGAATGAAACAATTTTTACGCTT